AGGAAGAAGAAGAAAATGAAGGGGGGGGGGGGAAGTCTTATTTTTGGGTGTGTGGGTTAATAGGGTTATGAGGCAGCACTAGGGAGAGTGCAGTAAGGTTGCTATCAAGATATTCCTTATGAAATAAGCCAAAGCTGAGACTTTTTTAACTTTTAAATACTCAGATTTGTTCTCTGTTTAGGCAAAGAAAGTATATTTTTTGCAGCTGCTTGAAGACCTTGGCTTTCATCTTGTATCATACTCTTCAAAGGACAATATTGGCAGGTTCTGTAGTTTCTGGGTTTTACTGTTTTTAAGCATTCTTGGAAGAAAGACGTATGGATTATTGCTTAGCTTCCTTATGCCTGATGAATATTGAGAATCACTTACACAGAATATTCAAAAATTAGTGTCTTGGGTAGAAATGTGTCTGTGACAGAATGAGATGGGGACAAATTAGGAAAGCTTTTAAAAGCTTCTGGGCATTTATAGACCTAGACACAATGCTGAGTTTTCTTTTGTATGTGATTTTTTTTTTTTGCTCCATGTGGAAGGTAACACGTTCAATATTCCTTAGCATATCTTTTGTATGAAGTGTGATCAAACACTTTACAATGTTGACCAGCTGCTCTGGATTGGAATAATTATAATAGAAAAGGTTTTGTAGAGTAAAAGGTAGTTATTGAACCAGCCTGATAACATGCACAAAATAACCTGCAAGCAGTGAAACATAGATTTACTGTTAAAGAGAACAAAGGCATGAAGTGATATTAAAACTGAACTCAATATTTGTCTTTTTATTTTCTTCTTTTTTTAACTTGAAATAAAGAAGTGTTCTGGTTTGTTCTCTACATCATTTTCTTTTTCTAACATACAGGCCTTTTCTGCTTGACTGTTTGTGTGGCCTGGTTAATTTTACCTACTAAAATTATTTTTGTCTCTTTGATGGTACAGCTACATGTTTTGACTGCTGCATTTATGTGTGATATGGAACTTCTCTGTGACTCCTGCATCCCCATCTGCTTTTTGTTGAGATCCTGATACAAGGGTGTAAAAACAGTTTTAAGGCAGT